CAGAAAGAGAAAGAGAGGGAGAGAGAGAGGGAGAGAGAGAGAGAGAGAGAGAGAGAAAGAGAGAGGGAGACACACACAGATACACAGCTAACGTTGAACTATTACAATAACAACAATAATAACAACAACACAAACAGAATTGATTAGTAACGCTTTAAGACTGGACTGACAGACGTCACGTTTACAGACGAAGATCGCTCAGGACTGCTGTTCATGAAACCGACGAAGACGGAACAAAACGATCAGAATGACAAGGATCAACATCTATCAACTCATCTACCGGAGTTGGATCAACATCATCCTAATCTCCAGGATCTGGAGAATAGTTTCGGTGGGCCACAAAAGGGGTCTAACGAACAGAACTTACAAAATCCTGAATATTTCTCGAACGATAACAAGGATGCCTTACAAAGTTATAATATAAATTCGGCCAGTGTATATACAGGACAATCTCAAGATACATTTAACTCGGGACAAGTGATTTATAATAAAGATCAGATTTATCAATTGGATAAGGAAAAATTGTCTCAGACTTATCAAAACTCATTGGAACCTTTGAAAATGGAACCAAATTTTTTACCAAACTTGGCTAGTCAACAATTCTCCATTCAACAGAGTTTAGAATATCCAGCGATTCATCTTCAACAGATTCGATATTCATTACCAGAAAAAAATTTACAATTGTCCAATTATAATGATCTCTCGTCGTTGCAAACGAGTTTACCATTAACCTCGCCACAATTTGATATGTTAAAGATATCGATGTTGGAAAATCAAAAAGGACAGGAATTACCAAATATACAACCGCAAGATTTCAACTCTTTACCAACGTTTTCAAGTGTTCACATCGATATTGCCACTCAAGAACCTTTAACGTTACCCATATTAAATCCCATTAACGCGCATTACTGGCCAAACCGAGGTATGTTAGAACCTACAATCAGTATACCAAGTAAGAATCTCATTTGGAGGAGAAGTAACGTGCAAAGGAAGAAGTTAGCAGTGAGATCACCGGCAAGTTTTCGTGATAGAAGACCATTTCGAGTTTAAAGACTAATCAGGACGAGACGCAGGTAACGTTACGTGAAAATTCGGTTGACTGTCTCGATTCTGACTCTTACGGAGATTTGGAATTATCTTGTATTTTAATTTTTAATTTGTAATTTTCCATTTTCCTTTTTTCCTCCTTCTTCATCTTTTTTTTTTTTTGCTAACATGCACTTTCTTCCTTTCTGACAAAAATAACGAAATTCTTCTACGTTCTTTCTTCATTTATACGTTCGCGTGATCTACGATGTAAATATTGGCGGAACAAAAAAAAAGAAAGAAAGAAAGAAAGAAAGAAAAAGAATTCGTTCTTCCTTATTTTTTTTTTTTTTTCATTTCAAACGTATTCTATAGAAATATCAATGAATGGAAATTCGTGAAGTTTTTCAAAACCAATCATAGACAAGTTCGAAAGCACATAGAAGCAATGTGACCGTTCCGGGCGGAAAGTCTGGAAAGTCGAGTTTACTTTCGTTTTTTGCTACAAGAAGAAAGAGGTGCCGTTGATCGAGTAAGAGTCGACGAACCACTAACGAAGCGAAAGTGTTCACGGGTCTTTGGGTCTTCTTGGTGTAGAAGGGCGAAGTGAGGATAGGAGAAAAGGGGGAAGCTTTCTCATAGTATCGATATTCATATGGATATATACTTTCCAAGACAACGACTTCCGTCATGCTGACAAAAGCGTGAAATATTTAAAACAAAACTACTTACTGTAATCATTATTATTATATCGTATGTGATTGGAAACTCGTACTATGACATTAGTTACTTTGACAAAAATTCTCTATTTAATATCTTAACTATCTAGACTTTTGAAATTTACGATTCGACAAAAAAACAAAAAGAAAAAAAAAACCCAGAGAAAAAGGAAAGGAAAAGAAAAGAAAAAAAAAAAGAATTAAAATGTCGACTTACCTAATAAGACAGGTGAAAATCCTTAATTCCTTCCTGGACTAGAACGAACTCGTGTGACATAATTAATCTCCGTTTGATCTGGACTTTGACAAGGAAAAAAAGAAAAAAAAATAATGTTCCAATGTATCGGCTTAATTATTAAATCATATATATATATATATATATATATATATATATATATATATATATATATATATATAAAAATCATTACACGTTTCCTGAACGAGAACGAACCCGTTTTATATAATCAAATGTTATTAATATTAGACATTATCTGTGTTTCAGTGGTCTATTCGTATTCATTCTATCCGTATCCATACAGAGGTTGGTACAAATCATCGAAGCCTTATGGATTTTAGAAACTTCGAGATGAAAGATTACGAAGTCTCGTATGGAAAGTGGTGCCCTGATAAATGAAGAAATGTACGCGAACGTGCCAAACCCCGTATCAACGCTATCCCAGTGTTATTTTCAATTTAACAGAAAGAAATAAGAAAGGAACAAAAAATTATACGCGTATCTAGAGAAGAAACTCTTTTTACATGAGATATTTAACATTGTGATATATGTTAACGATCGACAGGATAAAACTCTCATTGACAGTTTAAAGCACGAGCACGTGCTTTTTAAATGACCGTCGTATTTCGAACTCGCGAGTGGAGCCATCTGTGAACGAAATCTTCAATTCTTTCGTTCGTTCATCGAACACGGATTTCATTCTCGATCGATACTTGGAACATTTTTGCAATTATTTATACTTTCAAGTGATACCTACCTACCTATTATGCGCATTTAACGAAAACAAAAAAAAAAAAACAAAAAAAAAACGAAAAAAAAAAACAAAAAAAAATCAAAAGAATCGAGTATGTTGATTAAGTCGTATGGAGAAACCGCTTTGTTTTTTTTTTCTTCTAGTTATAAATTATAGAAACCACATATTTGTTTTTTTCTTTTCTTTTTTTTTTTCATTTTATTTTTTCTACCTAACAGTACTAAAATAATTTGTAAAATAAAGTTACACGAATGAAACTGTAAAAACTCTTGTCAAGGAAACTTATTTGAGCATAATTAAACTCGAAGATTAATTAAGCGAATGTGGAAAATCGATAAAGAAAAAAAAAGAAAAATTATATTAATTGTATATGTATATATATATATATATATATATATCGAAGATATAACGAGTAAGTAGTTAAATGGAAAATCTCAGGTAAGATGGATGGGTGTTGGTCATGCACGAGTAAACGCGGGATCGGTCATCGATTATCCAGCATCCTTCTAAGAGTAAAAGAGAGAGCCAGAAGTTTCTGAGTTCAATGGACGACATTCACGAAATAAATCGTACGGATCAATGTCCTCCGTCGATCTCCTTTCTGTCCCTCGGGGTCGAGAAACCTGCGAATAAAATATAAACCGCAAATCCGTTTACGGATTCGTCTTTAAAATAGAGAAAAAGAAAAAGAAAAAAAAAAAAAAAAAAAGAAAGAAAGAATACAAAATTACAAATCGGTTATGTCAGAAAGATTCCCATCTGTAATTCTTTTGTAATAAGATCTTTTGATTCTATGAAAAAGAGAGAGAGAGAGAGAAAGAAAAAAAGAAAAAAAAAAAAAAAGAAAAGAGAAAAGAAAATTAAATTATTCTTATAAATCATACATGGGATTTCTAGATCGCGTGCAAGCACCGAAGAAAATCGTTAGCGTGCTTCGTTGAACGGAACGTCGATGATCGCTTTTCGCGATACGCGAAGATTGTTAACAAAAATGGCGACGATATAGGATAATTTCAAGTTACGGGCCTCATATGTGCAATGTCGTAGAATACGGTAGTAGGTCACTGGATCGTGCACGCAGCTCTTTCGCGATTACTTCTTGGCCTTTTGCTATTAATATAGTTGTAATAGTAGTAGTAGTAGTAGTAGTAATAGTAGTAATAGTAGTAGTAGTAGTAATAGTAATAGTAGTAGTAGTAGTAGTGTAATAGGGAATCCAGTGAGTCGAATATATGGAGAGAAACGAAAGACGACCGGTCGATTGATCGATACAAATCGGATCGGAGGACGATGCACCTAGTGCGTTTGTCCCTTTAAATCATAGGTTACGATGATTTTCTTTTTTTTTCCTTTTTCATTTTGTTTTTTTTTTTTTATCATTTTTTTACTTAACAATTTTACTTATTTCAACTCGTTAATCCTCGCGAATCTGACAGCTGACGAGAGAAATTATGTAAATCCTTTGCTTCGATATGAAGGATTTATTTATTTATTTATTTATTTATTTATTTATTTTTTTTTTTTACGTTTAATCCTCTACAATCCGGTTGCTTTTTAATCGTTTCATTTAAATTATATTATAGAAAATTTCTAATATAATTAAGTATACGTTAAATTTATAGTATAAACGATAATACGAATATGAATATAATAATTAATTTTTCTGGTAAGAAAATGAAATGGAAATTTCAAAATATAGATGTTAAATAGGATTTAGATTATTTACAAATACGTAATTATTTTTATCAATCAATAAGTAACGTGTAGTAATATCAAATCATAAAAAGAAATATTGTTTAAGATATTTTCGATATTTCATTAAATAATCTAATCTCATTTCTCATTACAATTTTAATTCATGAAATGTTTCAATTTTATTTACGATCAATTCGATAGTAATGAAAAGAATGTCAGGGAAATAAAGAATTTCTTTTCACGATAAAACTCGCCGGTTAGTGCACTCAACGCATCGAAGTGAATGCGAGAGTAGGAGTAACAAGTAACCTTTTGGCATCCCCGATGATCAACGTACGTTGGTCGAGAGTATAAATGAAGGACAATGACCTAATTGCGTGCAGAAGGCGCAGTGCTTCTTCGACGGCCAATAACCAAGGCCGCGAGAAAGATTTTTAAGAGCCGGTTTCCGGTTTTCCGTGTTCGAATCGCGAGAGAAAAGCCGGTTTTTGTATTTCTTTGTGTGACATCATTATCGATCATTTACCTGCTGATCGATAGAATCGAGAATTCTATTTTTTTTTTTTCGATCATGAAGGTAAGTCCCCTTTTAACAGTAATTACACAAGTTTACTTCCTTCTATTTGCTTTCGTTTTTTTTTCTTTTTTTTTTTTTTTTTTTTTTTTTTTTTTTTTTTTTTTTTTTTTTTTTTTTTAATATCACTTGCAATAACGATTAATTAACGAGATAATTAAAAAAAAAAATTTTTTCCTCAAGATCCTCAACATTTTTTACCGGGACTTTTAATTGACACAATGTCTAAATTATTAACTCATACTCGTCGTATTATTTTTACAAATTCACGTCTACCATTTATCTCTAACTTAAATATAATTTAATAATTAATACTGCAATGATTGTTCGCGATTTCTATTTCAACTCTCGTTTGGATCTTTGAAATAAAGAATCGTGTCAAAAAGCTATTTACGTTTTACGATGATTTCGATAAACGAAATATTGCAAGTTTTTTTTTATAAATAAAATGAAATGACATGAAATGTTTATGATTATTAAATAATAAATAGCGAATAGGAGAAGTAAACTAATGATCGATCGAACGATATAATCAAAGAATTCGAAGGAATTTTGATTATCAAAGTCATTGTAAAGCAACAGGTGTGAAAATTTCTAACATGTTTACGAGCATTAAAACAGATTCTATAAATACATACATACATATGTATACATAAGCACACATACGATAATTTTCATGGTTCGCCGTATTTTCTTCACTACTCTCTCTCTCTCTCCCTCTCTCTCTTTCTTTCTCTTTCTCTCTTAACCCCCCGCTCCCGGCCTGCTTATCCTCGCTTTTCCTCGCACCGATGTGGGACAATGTCCCACTTCGATTCGTCGACTCACCACGAAGTTTCTGTTTCTTCTCTCTTCATCCACTAATACTTCACATACATAGACATACATATGTGTAATACAAATACATATGTGTTCGTACCTAAATACATAAATATAATATATCTAAACATATATATATATATATATATATATATATATATATATATATATATATATATAAATAGATAAAGAGTACAGACATATATTATTTATATGTTGGCAAAAAGGAAATGAGAAGCACGTGCCGATATGAAGTACCGTAACGTTCTCGGTATCATCCTAACAAACTTGGATTTCCGGTTATGAACGCTCGAATTCGTCTCACGTATCGCTTATATCCTAAATAAAATGAGTATAGGAGCCCAGAATGTCTGAAAACAAAATTTCGATTATCGAATGCACATTAACGACGTTAAGCTGTTAAATTTTTAAGGTGATCGGTTGGACATGTTGGCTCTTGGCCATGTGTATCTGTTTCTCCGAGGCAAGGAATAAATTAAGAAGACCGCCTCTAGCCCCTTTGCCTCATGCACCACCGATATTCAAGAAATCATGGCCTATTGGGCCTAGAATTTCAATGGGAAACACGATACACATTGGTGGAAATTTTCCTCATAAAAGAATATCTTATAAACCTCCAAATTATAGGTAAGAGAAAAAGGGAATGAAATATGAAGGACAAATGTTCTTCTTTATTCCCTTTTCAAACGTTTAAGAAATAACCTGATATAACAAGATATGAGCCTGGTACATCAGGCAAATCATTTTCGATCTCAGGATTAGACGACCTCCGACGTTCAATATTCTTCCTACTACCTGGAAAACTCAAATGCCAGTTCTCGGGATTTTGAACAATCATGCTGTACTTCCGCAACGTCCACCAGTCAAAGAATTTCATACGATGAATCAAGTTCCAGAATATAGTCCAGAATATAGACCTGAACCAATGATATTGCCACCGACTCATCGAGGTAACCTCGACGACGATAAGGGTCCTATTCATACGATACCTGCACCTAATCTGAGCCCAGCCGATAAGCCTTACAATTCTGATGCTAATTCTGGACAAAAGGCCATTTCTCAGCATCAATATAGTAACGATCTCAATTATAATCTCAATCTACAAGGTGAATTTAAGAAAAAAAAAAAAAAATTGATTTAAATAATGAAAGAATATGTTACTATGATATCTATTTGATTTTTTTTAGGTAATACATTGGCAAATGATTTTGGATTAGCGACTATTGGCACTAGCTTGGCACCTCAACGAACTGTAACTAGTCCAACGCCTATTCAACATCAATATGAAGTTACAGAGGACAATGATCTAGCTCAAAAGGAATATCATACAGTCCAACCGACATTTTTCACTCCGGAATTCGATGTAACCAGGCTGGCTACGGTAGTCAATCCCGATCTACAAACCAACGAAGTTTTCCTCAATCATCCACCCATAACCAACACGGGCCTAGCGAATATTCAGTTTGGTCAAACTGACACACCAATGCAAACAAACTTGCGCAGTTCTCTTCACGTTGGCTTCCCTGGTACCGCCACTCAAGCAGCCAATACGATTGGCAATCAAATTCCTGATTTACACGTTGGACATCCGGCACCAGCTGGACCACCTTTATCCGCTACTCAACTTTACGAACTCTTGAACAGCTTCCCGAATAAACTTACGGAACAATACACAGCAGGTTCGTAAATTCAATCGATATATCAAGAAATAAAGAATAAAAGTCATTTTTACGATTACAGTTCAGCAACCTCAGTTACAACAACATTTACTACAACAACAACTTGGCCAACTTCTTCAGCCCAACGGAGTCACGAGTTTCTCTCAACCACAGATGCATTCCTTTAACTACGATGAACAAGATAATCAGCAGCAGCAACAGCAGCAACAACAGCATCAACAATTACAACACGAACAACAACAGATATTATTAGATCCAAATTTCGCATCTGGTAGAGTCACTGCGGATTACAATTTGGAGGCAGAACCTTCGAATATACAACAGACTGATATACAGTCTGACGAGGAATTAAGCTATACTGCTGAAGTACCGATTGAACAAACAGAAAATAATATTGATTATGAGGAAACGAATAATCGGGCTGGACAATCCACGTATTTTAGCAAAGTTACCAATAACGGAGGATTATCGACACAATTTTACACATCTTTGCCTAATCGCGAAGCTGCAGAGAAATTAGCTGCATTAGCTGCTGCTGGAAATGTAAATAGTCAGTTGATTGGACATCTACGAAAGCAACAACTGGAGAGACAACAGCAGAGCGAAGTTATGCCACCCAATCACAAGGACGAGAGTTATCAAGATACTCAAGAGCAACAAGAGCAGCAGCAACAACAACAACAACAACAACAACAATATGAATCACAGTATGAGCAGCAACAGCAATATCATCAGCAACGTATTCATCATGAACAGGTATACATTTAATCAAATTATAAATATTAAAAAATAGTTATTTAATAATAGTTTCAATGTTTACAGGCTGAAAATGAAAAACGTGATAAACAACGTTTTCTACAACAACAACAACAACAACATCGACGAAGGTTAAACCAACAAAATCTTAATCAAGAAAAACGACCCTTACGAATAATGGTACCCGATGACGAAGAATACGTGAACGATTCTGATTCACAGAACGAAGAGAAAATAGAGTATGAATACGAGATTGACGAAGGTGACACGAAGGATTCTCGAACTACCACCTCGTCGAACGAACGACTTTATGAACAAAATTCGAAATATGAATTTGGTACACGACTCAGATCTAAGACTGGAAAATGAAAATATTTATTAATATAATATTTGTATATGATGATTATTTATCGACAAATTTTAGGATACTGTTAACAGGTGATTTCCATACTCGAAATGATTATGCGAAAGGAGCGATCGATTCCGATAGCTTTTGAATCATTCTTCAATAGACATCCTTCAAAAGCGATCGTACGAATCGTCTATTAATTTATTTGATATTTATTTATTGTATTTAGGCTATTTGTTAACTTATTTATTTCTATTTGCAAGGAAATAGAATATTTCCATTGTCCTACATAATTTTAATCTTTTATTTTGAACATCCCGCGCAATTGAAAGGTAAACATTATACTCGTATGTACATATTTATCAACTTGATGAAATATTAGTATAATACAGGAGTCAGCAGTTTTTTTTCTTTAAAAAAAAAAAAAAAAAAAAAAAAAAAAAAAAAAAAAAAAAAAAAAGAAAGATTAAAGAAACGTTGTTGGACAAGGCCATTTCCATTGGCTTCTTTAGCCGGGTTAATCACTTTCATTTTAGAAAAAATTTTTTTTTCAATCAATAAAACAAACACAGAAAAAAAAAAAGAAAAAAAGATCTTAATTTTAACTGATAAAAATAAAATACGCACATCCTGATGACGTCATGCAATTTGTCATTTTTACAACAAACTGTACTACGATTGATCCATGAACCATGGTTTACCATTATTTGTCAAACGTTTTGTTAGAATATCACAACCCTTTTCTGTGACTAAAAGAGTATGTTCGAATTGTGCTGACCATTGTCCATCTGCTGTAACTGCTGTCCAATTATCAGGCCACATTTCATCTCTCCATGTACCTTGAGATATCATTGGCTCTATCGTGAAACAATGACCAGGCTTCATAACCCCTACTGCTTTATTTTCTAAAAGAAATCATATACATTAATTGTATCATAATATATTTATTGAGTTTTAATATAATAAATATTACTTACTGGCATAATGTGGTACATTCGGTGCAGTATGGAAAAGACGATGTATACCATGTCCACAATAACTGCGTACTACACTGAAACCATGTGCCTGTGCATGTTTCTGTATAACATTACCAATGTCTCTGTATTTTTCTCCAGGACGTACAATCTCAATAGCTTTTGATAAACATTCGTACGTTACTTCCACTAACTTTTTTACTTCTGGCTTAACATTCCCAACTAGAAAAGTTTCATTCAGATCACCATGAAAACCATTATGATATACAGTGACATCAACTGAAAAGAAAAGAGTTTTTATAAGAGATAATTCATTAAATCCAAATAAAATTATATTTATCAATGATCATAATAATCATTCTACCATTACAAATATCTCCATCTTCCAATGGCCTTGTATCAGGTATACCATGGCAAATTACTTCATTAACCGATGTGCAACAACTAGCAGGAAACTGATAATAGTTTAATGGAGAAGGATAACAATCCCGTTCTATACAAGCCTCATGAACAGCCCTGTCAATTTCTGCTGTTGTAACACCCACGCCACATGTTTTTGCAGCCTCATCTAAGACTTCTCGACCGAGCTATGTGAATTATTCTAATTTTAAAACCCACTAATTGTTAGGTCTCATATATAAATTTAAGAAGTAAATAATAATGTTCCCCTTTGTATTAAACCTCTGACGATCAAAGATTATCTGTAATGTTAGAATAAATATATCACCTTGCATGCAATGCGCATTCCTTCAATCTCTTCATCGTTAAGGATTTTAATTTGGGCAGAACCTCTCACTGCTTGTTCGCTAATAGGAATTCCAGTTGGATGTTGAGCATAATCTGGACGGCCTATACATTCTGGTACTTCACGACGTGTCTCTCTTTTGAAAGGACGTAACTTTCCAGTGTAATGATAAGAAGGCCATGGATTGTACTCGGAACTTTTATTCACATTTTCTCCTTCTAATTATAGAAAACCATTCATAACTATAACTGGATCATGGTAATATCAGAAAGAAATAGAACCGTAAACTCACTTGCAAGTTGGTGAATTAGTTTATGTGAGTTCCAGTTATCTTTAAAGCATCCCTGTAAAAATTGATCAAAAAAGAAAAAAAAAAAAAAAGGATTAAATCGTTGTATCATCATAGCAAAAAAGAAATTCATCGAATGTATCGAATGAATTATAATATTTTAAAAACATAATTATACGAATTTAATTGATACTTCTTTTTTCTTTCTTTTTTTTTTTTTTTTTTTTTCATTATGATCATACTGATAGGATTGAATTACATACCAAAAGGAAATATACATTGGTACGACATAACCTATAATATACGTAATGTATTCTTACTTGACTACAAAAGTATGAACCCTGTATTCCAATTTTTAAACATGTCGGACATTGTAAGCTCGCCTCTGCTTTACATCCAGGTGCTTCGCATATTCCAGGAGCTACCGCCATTGTCGAAAAGTAATTTCTTTTAAAGCAAACGTCGTGACTCCGTGAACGATCGTACGAACCGTGATGTAATAAGATATACCTCCTCTTTCGGCGGACCAATCATAGCGCGGACACGTGACGCGGGATCGTGGAAAATTCAAAATCATATCCTTGTTGCATCATTGCCAATCGATGATGTCCCACTTATTTACGTACAGTATATTGTTCCCTTTTGTTTTTTATTTTTCGTGCTATACTCTTCACTTCTTTTACATTTTTACGGTTTTTTTTTAAGTTTCTCGTGACGCAGTGCATATGGATTGATATAAAATCGTCGTTCGAAGAAGATTAAATGAAAAGAATCGAACAAATCATTGGCTCATTTGTGATCTTAAAGACAGGTAGGTTATGAAAAAGTTAAAAAAAAGAAAAAAAAAGAAAAAAAGAACAAACAAATATGATTTCTATTTTGATACTACGAATTATCGTTTTTCGACGTTAAATTCATTTGAGAAAACAAATGTGTCAATATTAAAGCCGATAAATTTTAATTGTTAAATTAATTTTTCTTATCTTTGTAAAAAATTTATATCAGATCTAACAATGCGATACGTACGGAGAATATTATACGATCGTTAATTATTCTCGTACTATTTGATAGAATAACGTTTCTCTTATATTAATAATTGAATTACAAAGCAAGAATTAGCTTTTTGTTTTCTCGAAAATTTAATCGAATTTAATACTTTACGAGATACAATATCTCTGATATATCGCACAGTGCGTTAACATATGTATATCTAACGGATTCTTGCATATTTTCTCGAAGCAATCCTTCGTTTATAGATTTCCCGAATGGAATATCGTTGTACCGCATATGTCTGTATATTAGAATGAAGGAGAATTATAAAGGAATATCTGCTGACTTAGAGATACGTCTGAACTGCCATAAAAAAAAAAAAAAAAAAAAAGAAAAAAAAATACATGCATATTCAACGATTCTCTGTATTCGAGAAGAGTGGTAAAAATGGTTTTAAGAGGAAGAGAGAGAGAGAGAGAGAGAGAGAGAGAGAGAGAAAAAAAAGAGCAAAAAAGGATGAAGTATATAAAAAAGGATAAGGATAATCTTCTTTCTCAAGGTCGAAGTTTTTTCTTTCAATTTACAATATTTTTTGATTTTCATTTAATTTCAATCTTTCTTTCTCCTTCCACATTACTTCGCAGCAATTTTTATTTTTTTGCTTCTTTTTTTCCATTAATTACTTGGAAGTATCCTATAATATTTTTAATAAACAAACTTAAAAGAAAAAAGAAAAAAAACCATAAATAGGATATATAGGAGGTATCCTAAGTATTATTCCATCCGATGTTCGTCTTCTTGGAAATAATTAAAAAAAAAAAGATTATAATTTTTAATTTCGATTAAAAGTTCTTTCTTTCTTTCTTTCTTTCTTTCTTTCTTTCTTTCTTCTTTTTTTCTTTTCTTGTTCTTTTTTCTTTTTGTTTTTTTTTTTTTTTTCCTTTTAATTTTAACCTCCAATTAAATTTACAATTATTTCTCGTTATATTGGAAATAATATTCTTTGAACATTTTGAAATATTGAGATATATATATATATATATTCCTTATGTATAGTTATTATAAAAGGACAGATATTATCGACATTTCGTTTATTTGCCATAAAGTTCGATTACAAACGAGATCAACGTTCAGAACATAGTACGTACTATCAAAGAGCATGGTTAGCGTTTGATCGTACTCATCATATTAATTAACGTAGTCAAACATTTTAAAGCGAAGCATTTATCATCCCCTTCCGATCGTTTTAAAGGTCTTCCCCCTCTTCGTCGATGAATGGAAACTGTGTACTCCGCCCGTGTCCTTGACTTTTTTACGTTCTCATACGAAAAAGAATGAAAGAGAAAAAAAGCAATTTTTAAATTGCTACTCGGAAATTTATCGAGTTCACATAGTCTTATAAAACAAGCCGTTGCTTTGTGAGAAATTTAGCAATTCAATTTTTATATATATATATATATATATATATATATATATTCCCATGAAAATTATCCTACAATATCTCAAAAGAACGATATAAGAAATATTTCAATTAAACCATGTTTATGTATTACGACCGTAACATGTATTCCGTGAAGGGAATTGAAGATTTTCGAAATGAAACATAATTTGTATGATATATATATATATATATATATATATATATATGCAAAGAGAGAGAGAGAGAGAGAGAGAGAGAGAGAGAGAGAGAGAGAGAGAGAGAGAGAGAGAGAGAGAAATGAATACATTTATTTATACATGCGAGTGTTAATATTAAGATATTATAAGCTTGGTGTATAAATTAATTTTGTATTAGGAATTAGTAATTATTCATTATTTAAGATTCTATCATGAGAATCGGAGTAATAGAAATAATGGGAGTGATGGGAGTAATGGGATCTGATGTATTAGGATAATTGGATTTAACAGATTGTGTTTTGTCTATATTGTGTATTGTCTACAATTATATAGTTTATCTATTCTTACGATTATAATATAATAATGATATGGTATAGGTGATCGAGTGTAACTTAATAATCGATTAATTAATTAACGAAGAAAAAAAAAAAAAAAAATAAAAAAAAAATAAAAAACAGTATAAAGATCGTAGAAATTCTTTCATGTCGTCGTCGAAGTTATTCTTTCTTAAGAGATTTCGTTTCAACGATTATTTCGAAAAATTCTCGTCGTACGGAACTACGAAGTTTCGAAACAAAACATCTACGATCCAACTGGCTTCATTATATGCAGACGAAAGAGTGCCTGTTAATGCTGATTAATTACTAGTTGGTGGCTCTCTTAGAGCTTCGTGCATGTTCGTTTTTCTGCTTTCTCTGTCTCTCCCTCTCTGTCTTTCTCTTTCTTTCTCTCTCTCTCTCTCTCTCTCTCTCTCTCTTTTCCTTCTCCTTTTTCTTTTTTTACCGTAATATTTCTCTTTTTTTCTCATTTCAATCACTCAGCTTTTTTTTCTTGCTCTTCATCCCCTTTCTAAAGAATTTTCTTTATTTAGCTTATCTTGGATTTAATTTCGCGATCTAAGCCAACGAACATATTGGATATGAAAAATGTGAAACACCAACCAAATGCTATTAAAAATATGTAACAGGGATTATATATATATATATGAATTGTGAAGTTTAATAGATCAATAAATATTGTGATAATGGATTTGACACAAAGTAACAATGAAAATTTCTACGTTTGATCAAAATTCAACGTTTAAATTTTTTTCAATGAACTTTTAGTATCATTATATATATACATATACGTTTTATATAGACACATACACATACACACACACACACACATATATATATATATATATATATATTGTAGCGCATAGTCGACGCATTTCATTCATTTCCATTGCTCGGCTACGATCGAGCAACAAATTGAGAAAATACACGCACGAAGGGAAGGAGGAGAAGCGAATAATCGCGGTAAATTTTGCGATCGATCGATTTCATTTCCATTCGAAACGGCCGCTAGCTGTGGTGATGTTGCTGTTGGTTGTTGCTCGAATATAAGAATTTATCGTTTGTGCGGTGTGCTCCACTTGCAAACCCAGCGATCCAGCCAACTTGGTAGCTTGCTAGCTTGCTGCCTACCTATCTACCTACCTACCTACCTACCTACCTACCTACCTACCTACCTACCTACCTACCTACCTACCTACCTACCTACCTACCTTGCATATTTCCACGCGCATGAAATATTAACGACGCGAGTACGATTTCACTGAGGTTCCTTTAATTTAGCCCACGAATATCGTACGATTCGTATCGATCCAATCGAAAAGCTTTCGAGAATCAACTAAAGTGATTTTAAAAGAAAAAGAAAAGAAATATATAAAAGTATTAGATAGCGTTAATAACTAATTCATTATTTTTTGATAGACCAAATAAACAATGATATAATTATATAAATATAATAAATAATATGTAATATAGAAAAATGATATAACATAACATATAATATTTATTGGATATCAAATATTACAAATCTCTTTCTCTCTCTCTTTTTTTTTTTTTTTTTTTTTTTTTTTTTAATAATATATAAATCTATATATTATTATTGCATGAATATTGTTTATTTGCATGAGAAAATATTACAAATTTTCGACTGTCTCGAAAAAATCCAATTGTGATGAAAAAATGTTTACCTTAATCGAAAAAAATCATTCTTTATTAATGAACGAAAGTGAATATAGGGATCATTTATATCTTACTTTTAAAAACTAAATTAATTACAATCGGAAATAATATTTTTCTCTGTTAATAAAATCTTACATACGTATACCACAATCGGTTTCAATTTATCTTTTTCTTTATCGTGCTTTAAATTCAATCGACGTAAAAGATTTCAATTGAAACAATTACGTTTATAAAAACTTTTGTATCATAGAAAATCCCATTGGAAAGGAGATTTCGTATTTAAGGTGAATTCTCAACGAGATCAGATATTATTCTAACGTCGATACAAGATATGATAAAGTGTAGAATAGTCTCGTTGAAGCATTGACATAAAAAGAAAGAAATCGAGCGACCAAGAGAGATAGATAGATAGATAAATAGAGAGGAAGAAAAATAGAGAGAGAGAGAGAGAGAGAGAGAGAGAGAGAGAAACATACCAGCGACAACAATAGTCGAAACAATGGTCGTTCGAGCGGTTTGTTTGTAAGCGACATTAGGGTATATCAGGGAAGGTTGCCAGAAGGTAGAGGAAGGGGAAAAGAGAGCTTGTGCTTTCGGATGTGACACGTTAAAAGAGAATTCGGTATTTCCCTCCTATCGTCAGAGATTATTCTTGCGGAGGGTTTCCGGGCAGCGTCGACATGCACTTACCCTTCGACAGACAGACTGACAGGGTTCCTAAAGGGTGATCCCATGACAGTAATCCGATACTTGACCGATACACGTTCTCGCGTGGGACACGGAACACGTGTTTCTGTGAGCGAAGGGCCAAACTAACAACAAGCCGTTGTCTCTTGTCGAATATTTATCGGTTTTGTTTGTGTGCGTCGCTCGTTGAAAGGCAAAAGGAGAGTGGTGGTGCGAGAGAGGGGGCGGGGTGGGGGCGGAGGAGGGGAAAGACCGTTGTAAGAGGAGGGCTGCTACATTTAGACGAAGGAAGGAACGAACGAAGCGTTCGAATTATCGAGTCGAACGACACGAGTTGGCCCGTGGTCGGGCCCTTTCACCCTTCTCAGATCAAAGCCAGATACGAGCCGAGTTGTTACGTAAAAGGATATTGCCGAGTTACTGAATTAGGTATTCTCTTTCTCTCTCTCTCTCTCTCTCTCTCTCTCTCTCTCTCTCTCTCTCTCTCTCTCTCCCTTTCTCTCTTTTTTTTTCTTATTACTTTTCCCTTTTCGTTTTAGGGCATATGGTAGTACGGTTTTCTTGTAAATAACATTCTTTCTTTTTTTCTCGGTGCAATATCGTAAGAAATTTTATTTTTAAATCGATTACGTTTTAAATAACAAACTCTCTTTACAAAGGCATAAAAACAATCATAGGCAATATCATTCTTGTTTACTTGAGACAATGTCATATGAAATATTATATTTAAAATAAATAACGTTTGAGATAAGGATAAATTCAATTTTATCATATCCCTTACTCTCTCTCTCTCTCTCTCTCTCTCTCTCTCTCTCTCTCTCTCTCTCTCTCTCTCTCTCTCTCCTTCCTTCCATCTCTGTTTACTTTGAATTCAACGGAAGGAATAAAAAACGATAAACGATGCGTTCCGTGAGACACAGGAATTTCAACGTAGGAAAGATTAAACCAATTTATGAAGTATATAAGAAAGAGAGAAATGAAAAGAGCATGCGATGGTCTACTTACTCTGGCTAGCGTCTTCCCGCCATGAGGATTCTTCGAGGCTCGGCTGTGCTACTCGCACGGAAGCTCGGTCAGTGTCTCGGCCACCCTCGTGCCGTGCAGTTAGCGAGGGAGGAGACGATCGTCGCTGGCATCCCCTCTGGTTCTCTACCTATCCCTTCCTCCTCCTCATCCTCCTCCTCCTCCTCCACCTCCTCCTCTTCCTCCTCTTTCTCTTCTTCCTACCTCCTCTACCGTCTCTTTCCTATCCCTCCTCTCTCTTTTACTCACTCACACTCTCGCTCACTCGCTCACTCGCTCACTCGCTCACTCGCTCACTCTCTATCTCTATTTCTCTCTCTATCTATCTCTCTTTCTCTCTCTCTCTCTCTCTCTTTCTCTCTCTCTGTCTCTGTCTTTCTCTCTGACTCTCTGTCTCACTCGACTTAATGCCAGTACGAGCGCGCGCTTTCGAACGACGCGTTTCACAGGCAGCAGCCGCGAGGGACGATCAGTCTGTTCTCCACGTTCTCCACGCAAGGACGATCCGCCGGCGATTGATTGTATTCGGTTAGTTTTGAACGAACAACATCGACAACATTATTCTCTCGTTGTCTCAAGTCTCTCGCGCTTAATCGAACTTTGACCGACGAACGGGCCCGACCTACGAGATTTCTCGCGTGACTTATCGTTCACTCTGTCATTCTTTCCTTCTCATTTCATTTTTATTATTCCTTTTTCCTCTTTCTTTTCTTTTTTTCTTTTATCCTTTTTCTTTCTCTCTCTCTCTCTCTCTCTATGGTTTGATTTTGTTCCACTAAAAGTGATATTGGTAGTCCGATAGTAAAAAAAAAAGGAGGAAAGTAGTATAAGTGGTAGGTTCTTGTTTTTTTTTTTCCTTTTACCATACATTTCTTCACAGAACTCGTATTTCGAACTCGTGTTTCTGTTCTACTTTTTCTTTCTTTTTCTCCTTTTTTTTGTTTTTTCTTTTTCTTGTTTTTTTTTTTGTTTTTTCTTCATTAATTCCTTAATAAGAAATACGAAGAATCTTGTTTAACGTCGACGCGATAAAATTCGCGCGTAATTTGAATGATATAAGAGAATTATACGATTTTCTTTTTTTAAAGATCGATAAGAAAGATATTATTTTTGATGAGAAAAGTATCGATAATTGATTTTCCATTGGTGGATCTGAAAACAATCCGGGAAAATTAGTTTAACGGAAACGTGGCCGATGGTTTTGAATTCGACCACTTTTCCCGCCACTGCCAAGAGAAAGAGAGACAGAGAGAAAGAGAGAGTGAGAGAGAGGGAGAGAAAAGATAAGCGAAAGATTGGAACGTGGTTGGACCGTCAATGTGAACAGAAAGAATCGAGGAAATACATAATAAAAGAAAAATAGAAAATAAAGGTAGCGTTATTATAAGACAAAGAAGGAAGAAAGAAAGTGTAAGAAAGAGAGTGAGAGAGAGAGAGAGAGAGAGAAGGATAAAAAGAGAACGAGAAGAAAACAACGGCAAATGAATTTATTCGAACGGTAGTACGATCGGTCTGTGATGACCGAATCGTCGATCGAATTCCTCGTTTTCGTCTCGTTATTTCGATCGATCAACACGAGATGAGGCTACCGATGGAGATCATCCTGTCGATCTTATGCCTAACGGCAGTATGCCTCGTCGACAGTCGGGCTGTCGATAAGGATTCATACGAATTCGAGGAAACGAAACACCATCGACATCATCGTCATAAGAGATTCACCATCGAGGAGCTTACAAACACGAGATTTTCTCATGCGATTACCGGTGACCTGGACATCGATGTCTGCAAGGCAGGTAAGCACTCTCATTGCTCTTTTTCTTCTTCTTCTTCTTCTTCTTCTTCTACTTCTACTTCTACTTCTTCTCTTTTTCCCCTCCTTCTAGTACTCCTTTCCTTTTGTGGAGAACCCGATTTTCCATCTCTCTAACTCCAACGAAATCACATGAAAATTCTGATTTCTTTCGAATTCATTCGATCGAAAGGTAAAAGCGATTATCCTGCATCATTTCTTCCTTCCCAACTTACCTTCTCCTTTCTCTCTTTCGCTTTTTCTTTCTTGATTTTTTTTCCTCTCTTTATATCTTCTTTTTGTACCACCTGTCTCACTTTCTTTCTCTCTCTCTCTCTCTCTCTCTCTCTCTCTCTCTCTCTCTGTCTGTCTGTCTGTCTGTCTATCCCTTTCTTCTTCTTCTCTTATTCTTTCATATTATATAAAAGCAAGAAACGATCGAAAAATCAGATGCAATTGTCCAACGGAGTTAAAGCTTTATACTAACAAGGTACGAGAAAGATAGGAAGGGAACAAAGGGACAGGTAAATTGGCCAATCAAGGACTGAGAGTCGGTCGGAAAGAAGCACTGACCATTACGGAACGAGTTCTCCCACTCCTCTCTCTTTCTCTCTCTCTCTTTCTCTCCCTCTCTTTCTGTCTTTCTTTTTCTCTTTTTCTTCGATAATCTCACTCTCGCCGTTTCTTCTTCCTTTCGTAAGGAAGGATACTCTCTTTCTTTCTATCTTTTTCTTTGCTTCTCAAAAGCCTCGCAGGATCGTTCCAACCGAGACGATTTCGACATTAAGGATTACGAGAAAAAGATGCAAGAAAAAGGGGAGGAATAAGTAGGGGGAGACTTGGATGAACGAACCTTTCATCCACCTCGAGTAATTATCGTCAACGCGTCTCTTTCGTATTCTTTTTTGTCCTTCGGTATTTTCCGTCTGAAGTATTGGCAGGGAATCGTAAGAGGGACGAAAGAGAAAAAAGAAAAAAGAAAAAAGAAAAAGCTGCAATTGCTTCGATTGGTTGGTTCGAATCGACATACGATTCATGTGATACTTTCGTATACTTTTCAATTTTATCTCTGTCCATCAAGATATTTCATCCAATTGGACAGCGAGTTTAAAAGCATAAGAGATATATATTAAAACGAATAAAAAATTACTTTATAAATAAGAAGGATAAATATGAATTACGATCTATCTATTTCAATCCATCTTTATTTATATTTATATTCGTATATTTTAAGACATTTTCTTTTTGTAAAAGAATATCTAAAGATTTTACTAGGAAAACTAGGACAAAGTGTAACCATGAGAAACGGGGAAACGAAAACAACGAAACCTTTGTGATAAACGTATCGATACTTTGAAAACTTTGGAAATACACGAATTCGACTTACGTAGATACCTATCTCTCTATTCCTTTCTATCCCTAAAACAGACCAAGGAAGTTTCCGATTTGCGATTATATTAAAATCGCTCTCACGAAACTCTCCGTTTGCTAGTCGAGAAATCGTTTTCTACGGTAACTCGAAATGGGAGGGTAAAGGAATTCCCTTCGGTTAACCGAAAGTGTTGAGAGAGAGAGAGAGAGAGAGAGAGAGAGAGAGAGAGAGAGAAAGTGAGAGACAAGTGCTACTAACACAACTATACCAAATCGTTTAGGGCCGAACGATGGGCCCGTGCTGGGCCATCATTTGCTAATTTGCTTCGAAATACGGGCTTGCAAAAGCGAATTTAGTCATTCTCTCTCTCTCTCTCTCTCTCTCTCTCTCTCTCTCTCTCTCTCTTTAACCAACCATTTCTGTTTTCCTCCGCTTCTCCAACTCGAATGCAAGTTTCAGCAATTTAGATCGAGATCAAAAGCCATCGAATAACGTCTCGGTACTGATGTACACCCACCTCGGTACTGATGTGAACCTGACTCGGTCAACTGCTTTTATACATTTACGTTCATCTTTATCCCTCTTGTTCCTTTTTGTTTTCTCTCTCTCTCTCTCTCTCTCTCTCTCTCTCTCTTAGTTCTATCTCATTATTGTTAATAGTTTTCCTATAGTTTAATTTTTTTTAAGGGATAGATAAAATAACGACGATCATTTTACAGTTTAAGTAAATTATTACATTTTCTGATGGGAATGTGGTAATAATAGATGTTATAAAAAAAGAAAAAAGGGAACAATCGGTAGGATTTCATAAAGATTTATTATTAGTCGTAGTCATTAATCTTTTTCATCAAGAATATCCATCTCTCTCTCTCTCTCTCTCTCTCTCTCTCTCTCTCTCTCTCTCTCTTTCTTTTGGTAGTTACTTTCGTCTGGTTCGTTCATATCCTACGACTTACACTTACCCCTTCGTACGTATACATATGCGTATACGTATATCCTTTTATCCACGAGGACTTCCATTCTTTTGTAACTAATGATCGTTTGGAATACTTGGCGGAGTGTGTAACACGTAGATACTCGAGGGAAACGCGTTTCCTTTCCAGAGGATTACAATGTTATTCGTATGGTACTCGAGTCGTCCCTTTACCTTCAACGTGAAGACCAATAAAAAGAGAAGGATACTGAAGAGTGTATGACTGAAAGAGAGAGATAGATAGAGAGAGAGAGAGAGAGAGAGAGAAAGTGAGATAGAAAATAAAAAAAGAAGAAATGTCCTCGAGATTTTCTTCGTGAATGATTCTACGCGAAGCTTCTCTCCCCTTACACGAGTAAGTTTCTTCGTCTACGTCTACTTTTTCTTCATCTTTTCTTGTCTTTCTTTCTTTTCTTTCTTCTTTCCTTTCTTCCTTCCTTCCTTCCTTCCTTCCTTCCTTCCTTCCTTCTTTCCTTTCTCTCTTTTCTTCGTTTCATCGACTTTTGTCGGTCATCACAGGCGAGCGTAATTATCAACGCGACTGACTTCTCTATCTACGAGCACTCGAGGCAAGAACTTTTCGCGAAATTACTACTTGGTTCCTGTAAAAAGAACGATTTTTACCGTAACTGCTTCTTCCCTGAAAGCATTTTCTATCTCTTTTTCTTGATTTATTCGCCAGAGGGTAGTTCTCTTCAAATTTGTTCTCGGACATTACATACACGAATCTTTTCTCTATAACTTCTCTCTCTCTCTCTCTCTCTATTTCTCTTTATATATTTGTCTGTTTGAATGAAATAAAAAAAAAGTCCGATTAAAGTTAAAAAAAAAGTAATCGCGAATTACCTTCTACTCGTTTAAAGTTATTAAAGGTCAACTTTTAGAGCTTTCAGTCGTATTCTTTTTACATGCACCCCCCCTCCCTCCCTCCCTCCATCTCTCCCCCTTCTCTCTCTCACACACCCATCCCTGCTTTTTTCTCTGGATTTCTTTAATGGGACCAGTGGAATTTTTGGCATTCAGCCTGAGAAAATTGCCACGGTAGCAATCGACGTGCCGCCGTCGAAGCACGGAACGGAGTTTGCTAACGAGCAAAAACCGTAATTTTTTGTAAGAGTCAGCTGAATAATTTGGTTCATTCGAACGATTGATTTTTCCAAATCTTTTGTTTATTCACTTATCTGTCGTTAAAACTTTGTTATAATATCATTATACATATATATATATATATATATATATATATATATATATATATATAATTTCCTTTTTCCCTTCCTTTACATATACACGATATAATATAAAGTTTTATTATTTTGTTTGCTTTATTTTCTTTTTCTTTCAGTGATAAGGGGTAGGGTGGAGGGAGAGGGATAGAAAGGTAGAATCTCCATTCTTTCCAAATTGTTACGAGATCGTAACGCGAGAGGCAGCCTTCATTCTTTTCATTCGTACGATCTCACTCGACCTTCGTCAAGTAGCAGAGGCAGCTTCTTTTCGAGAGGATAAAACGAAGAGGATTATAAATAGAGTGCAACGAGTCTTTTGTCTTTAGTGTTATCGTACTATCTTTCATTCTTTCTTGTTTCTTTCTTTGTTTTTTCTTTTTTCCTTTCTTTTTTTTTCCTTTTTTTCTTCCTTTTCTTTTTTTTTTTTTTTTTTGACGTTTCAAACATTTCGTATACAAAGTGATCGGAAATCCTTTTTTAAGCCGCTTTTCTCTACAATATTCGTATTCTCTCTCTCTCTCTCTCTCTCTTTCTCTTTCTCACACTCTCTCTTTCGGATGGAATTAGAATGAGGGTGTAATCATTTAGATGGTTAATAATCAAAAAGATTCATCGTTATATGTAAATCGTACGATGGACGATTACATTTACGAGCATTACGAAATGATTAATGACTTAATCGATTAATGAAAATTTATCGGGGATATACATGTAATAATATCATCGGATTGGGCAAACGTCGTAACGTTCAAAACTAAATCTGCTTATACGTATACATACATACATATGTCAAATAAAATTGTGAAGTGGGTGCGAAACGACGGCTATTTGACTCGAAAATATTTCCCTGTGTGTTATTCTCCTCTTACTATCAGAGGATTTATGCATATAGAGGTAGACATATACAGACGTAGGCACACTCACGATATAAATGGTATATCGCGCTTACTGAGAGATAATACGCGTTCAAAAATCCGACAAACGGGAATGAGCGTTACGTCGAACGAGAGAGCTGAGTCTCCTTGTTATTCGAGTGATGTTAATGACGTTCGGCTTGACGAGTGTTCCGTTTCGCGGAGAGACAATGACAAAGACAGACAGAGAGAAAAAGAGAGAGATGGAGAAAGAGAAAAAGAAAGAAAGAGAGAGAGAGAGAGAGGAAGAAGAGAGTGGGACCAATAATAAAAATAACTTTTACTCCCTTGGATGCTTTTTGCAACTGCATCCTTTCAGACTCTCTCGGTGCATTTGTTTAGTTTCGCGTTGAACTTTTTATCTCTCTGCTACATGTAGCAAGGTATTCTTTCTCTCTCTCTCTCTCTCTCTCTCTCTCTGTTTATATCTCTATTCTAACGCAAAATACCGTCTGATAAATTTCAAAATGAATTCTGTCGGTAAGCCGCTATCTTTTTTTTTTTTTTTCTTTTTTTATT